ATTTTTTTTAAATAAATAAATAATGATCCAGTTCTTACCACAGGCAATTATGATAAGACTGAGTATAACTTCTAACAACAAATAGTGTACAAATTATAATTTCTACTTGATTCAAACTGCTTCTTCTTTAAAATCTGAATCTTTTTAAACTTAAGACATATTTGTGGCATATGACCTAGTGATAAAATGTTCAACCCGCTTGTATTCAAAAAGTTCACCAATGTAAGAGTTTATTACATCAACTATTGCTTTTTGGGAAACCCATGTGCCTTGTCACTCTCTTTCATAAGATTTCCTGTGGAAAATTCAATCCCTCATTCAGGAAAGGGCTGAGCAAATGGTCTGATGGAAAACCTTCATACACTGCAACACAAGAAAATGAAAATGACTGTGAGCAGCCCCTGAAGCCGGCAGACACACACAGTGTATGGCTGTGTTCCCACCTCGACTTTCTGTAACCAGCAGGAAAATGCATCTCAAGAAATAGACATAAACACTTTTCAGGACCTGAGCACATAATTTCCCTTTCAGGGTTTAGTGGGCTTCCATTTACTTCTATGAGAAATGTTTAAAACAACAGAACAACTGCTGATAGGGTTTAAAGTAACTTTTATTTCTTAGTGAAAATAAGGCCAGCTGATAGTTATCATTTTTACTTTATTTGATCTCACTCTCCTACTTTACCTCCCCAACCACCTCCACAAAATGACAGTGAACGTCCCCTCCTGGGTCAGAAGTCTAAGTAGAAAGTACCAATCACACGGAGGTGTGCTTTGTTGTTTTATTTTTAAAAAGAAACATGTTTCATTCATGTGATTTAATAATTAAGTTCAAGAAACAAACTCTATTCAATAAATGGTAGCCAACACATGTCGTCATAGCTGCTCATAAGGTTTGGCCCCATGTTACACACATTTACATGGGCATCTGCCATGTGCTGTCATGGGACATGGTGAGTGGGGGCAGGGTCTCTGCTCTCACAGGGCACACAGCCTGGTGGGGGAGGCAGTGTTCAATCATTGCCTTTTTTTTAATGTACTAACAAATTGTGGGAAATGCTATTTAAAAAGAACAAAATGAGTCAATGAAAGAGAAAAATACAAGGACTGTATTTAGGCTGAGGGAAGACAGGGAACCTCTTTGAAGAGCTGACACTCCACTGAGACCCAAAGGACAACTCCGGTGCTGCAGGTGAAGGGCAGGGACACACTGATAAAGGGCTGATATCCAGAATATACCAAAATTTCTTTAAACTCAACAAGAAGGATGAATAACTTGATTAAAAACTGAGCAAAATGCCTGAACACACACCTCATCAAAGAAGAAATCTAGATGCCAAAGAAGTCTATGGAAAGATGCTCCACAGCATCTGTCATAAAGGGGATGCCAACTGAAACAGCGTGGTACCACTGCACACCTGTCAGAACTGCCAAAACGCAGAACACTGACAGCAACAAATGCTGGTGAGGATGTGGAGCGTCAGGAATTCTCATGCATTGTTGGTGGGAATGTAAAATGGCCCAGATACTTTGGAAGACAGTCTGGCAATTTTTTACAAAACTAAACGTACTCCTAACATATGATCCGGCAACTGTGTTCCTCGGTG